TTATTGATTTTAGCTGCTTTGTTTTTGTCTATTGAATCTAGCTTTTTTTTGACATTAGATAATGAAAATCTTTAATAGATTTTATAGATTTAAAGTGTGATTTTACTTGTTTTAAATAATAAATGAGGAGCTCAGCAGAAAAGTAGTCTAACCCACAAATTTGGAAGACTTTCTAATGAAAAGTGATTGTAATGATTCAGATGCAGATAACAACCCTTCTTTAGCGAATGATGTTAGCAAAGGTATGTATATAAATAATGCACTATCAAGATATACATTTCATTGAGTTTATCATACAATAATATAGTTTCTAGCCTCAATGTTGTTTAGGCAGGGGTTCCTTTTTAGTTTTTTAAAAACCTAAATGCACTTTTTTATTGCAGATTCAAGTACTGGGGACCAATATGCTGAAGAAAATGCAAAATCTATATTAACAGGAGTTGATGGTATGTAGTAATTATCTAAAAATAGGCTTATAAAAAGAATTTTTTAGTCCCTATTGTTATGGCCTAGGACTAGTAAGTGACCAGAGTTGATATTAAACCGGGGCTGGGGTCGGGTTTGATAAAATATAGCAGGGGCCGGGTTTGAGGCCAGGGCTGCATAAACATTTATACATCCTAAAGAATATTTTATTAATTCAAAATTCATGTTATATTTTGTATATACATATATGCATATATAAACATCATTATGATCAACATGATCATCATCATTATGATCATCATCATCATCTTCTTCTCTTTTGGTAAATACTACACCATATAAATACTAAAGTTTATATAAAAATGAAAGAATTTAGTATGCCAGCATCTAAATAAATAGCAAACATATATGTTTATAATGTATGCAAAAAGAGCATCTTGGAAGCTTTATTTCCTTCTGGTCTAAGAGTTTGGAAGCTTTTATTCCTACTCTTCAATTTTAAGTCAAGCCTCATTCTACTCACATTTTTCACCATCTTGAGCAGTTGCTTTATTAAACATTAATCATTTATTGCATCTTTTTCACAAGAACATCTCTTTTAAGAACAAATATTCTTTTATTATTCCAAAAAGCCGCTTTAACTATCCTACGACCAGTCTTAACTCTGTTATTAGTTTCTTTATATAAAGATTATCAGATAATTAAATTATTACTTTTTAACTGATATAAAGTTATTTTTGAAGGCCTACACTCTTCTTTTTTTCAATTAACTTTAAGGGTACCGCAAGGGTCTAGCTTTGCTTCAGTATTGTTTCTTATCTCCAATATCAATCTTCATGAAAATTTTACATCTAAAGTGGCACTATTTGCTGATGACTCAACTTTATACTCTTGTCTTGACAAAAAATCTTCACTTTTTGATTGTTTAGAACAAGCAGCCAATTTTTAATCTGATCTCTCTTCTGTAACAGCCTAAAGCTTGCAGTAGCTTACGAATTTAAATTCTGGACTTAAAATCCACAATTTTTGTTAGACAACAAAACTTATTTATTTACTGCAAAAAAATATTGCAATAATGTTGGCATTCCTATATTGATAAATAACAACCATCTTAATCTCAGACAAAGTCTAAAAGTAATTAGAATTTGTAAATGTAATTAGACCTGATTTATTGGCCAAGCTCGAACCACTCTCCCATTGTTGTAAGGTTGCATTTCTTTCTTTTTTTCTACAAATACCATCGTGGTCAATCCTCAAACGAGCTATCATCTCTATTACAATAAACCAAAACTCAATCTTGTTTGGCTTCTTACTCAACAAGTTGCATCCTTTTACTATATCTGTCTCTTCATGCCATAGAAACTTTTATTAATCCAGTTTTTTTCCTTGCACATCAAAAAAGCTGTATAACTCTTAGCCATCTTTATGTTTTTCTTTTATATACAACCTACAACTTCTTTTTAGTTAACTATTACCTAGTATTATTTTTTTTAGTTAACCATTTCCTAGTCTTCATTTTTTTTTTCAATTAACCATTTCCTAGTCTTCAGTTAACCATTTCCTAGTATTTTTACTTATTCTCTATTTTAAAGTAACTCATAACTTAATAGTGATTGCTTGCAATCTTGTTGGAAGTAAATTAGAGTTTAAAAATATATAAATATAAGCCAGTATTTAATAAATAGTAAATGTAAGCATAAAATTATATTATATAGTGTTAAAAAAAAAATTTCCAGCCCTGGCTATCAACTTTGGCAAAATCTTATAGTTTTGGCGGGGCCGGGTTGTTAATTAGACCTAACATCAATGTAAAGCAATTGTTTACAGTGGTGTTAGGCCTAGCATTTTTTACTTAACATTTGCATTGCAGATTCAAATGTCAATCATGTTGGAGAAGTACGAAAGGACGAGAACTTCTTCCAGGAAATATGAGAAGAAACCCAGTCTCTTTCAAGAAGAAAAAAGAAGGCAGACAGACATAGTCATAAGCAAGTTGCCCATCCAGAACTACACAAAAGAAATATTCTGAAACAGAAATGGTCAACAGGGAAAGGGTATATTACAACAAAGAGCAAAATAGTTAAACAAATTTTTTCTAACTCTTAGACCATGAACTGGGATTTAAAAAACACCTTTGTAATGGGTTCTGTTGATGTAAAAGAAAAACACAGGGTGTATGCTGCATCAAATAACTCCCCTAGGGCAAATATTGGTACCTATAAACTAACTCATACATGTGGAATTATTAAAAAGATTTGCAAAACTTACTTCAATGACACATTGCAGATCCCTGATGAGACAATAACAAATATTTTAGCAAGGAAAAAAACAGATAGTACACCTATTGAAGACCACAGGGGTAAATCGACTCCACATAATAAAAGTAGTGATGAACACACCAATCTTCAAAGATTTATTCATTTATTTCCTACATTCCAATCCCACTATAGTCGAAAGGACAACCAGTACAGAAATTATTTGTCTCCAACATTACAAATGTTGATGATGGTCAAGAAATATGTTAGCAATCGCAATGAAAATGGTTACATCCCATTTTCAATTTTTGTATTTTGACACACATTTAATACAAAATTTAATTTACATTTTCACTATACGCAATCAGGTATATGTCAAAAATGTGATCTATTTAACAATAAAACAAAGTGTCTTAAAATCATAATGTAAAAATGCCTCTTATGTTACAATATATTTTGCACAAATTTCTATCTCTGAAAACTATTAAACAGAAATTTTTTGTAGCAGGGTATAGCTTTTCCTCCTGCGACCAGGACTTCGCTGTGATTAAAAAAGCCAAAAAAATTGGATAGACCTTATAAAAAATGCAAAGAAGAGGGCCACTAAATTTATTGTAAGAAAAATGGAGACCCATAAACTTCTCAGTGCAAAATCATTGGAAAGTGGGATAACCAATAGAAAAATTTAATAATAAAAAAACGTTTTTTTCTGGATAAAATCAGAAAAAGGATCACAACGCTTGTTTCAAATGAAGCAAACACATCTAAGTAATCTTTTTGAGCTAATACGATTCATACTGCCTGTCCATCATGCCTATTATCTTGCTCTTAAAAATTATGAGAAGGCAATTGATTTGGGTCTAAATGATGATTCTGATGACAAAGACATAAATTAGTGCATGTTACATATATAAAAGTATCATTAAAAAGTCATAGACAAAACATACCTTTAGTTTAACCAACTGTATTAACAATATTTTCAAAAATTTGAAAAGGCAAAGTTGCTTAACCTTTTTGTTAATTTTTTAGTAGATATACCAACGTATTTTTTTACCTGTCTTTATAATAAATACTATCCTTCTGATAATTGTACTTTTTCCTGTTATTTTTAAAAAGATTTTAAAGTCTTTTCTAATTTACTAATAATAAAGTAATTGTGGCTTAAACCACTTTTCAGCTGAGTCCCTCAAATACCTTATTAATTTATTTCCTTGATCAGTTGGTTCATTAAATGCTTACTAAATTCAATTGACAGTTAGCCAAGCCAATGGCAAACTGTCAATTGAAATTAGTAAGCATTTAATAATAAGAAATAAAATAATTTTAATAAATAATTGTTAAATTAGCCAATTTTTATTAATTATAAGTTTTATTAATCATGAATTTTTATTAATTATTTTCTTTACTAAAATGATGTAAATAAAAGTTAAACAATAAGTTTAGAACTTGTGGTCCATAACGCTTCCCAACACATATTTATTGTAAAACTATTTCTACATCGAACTTTTTTAATTTTAGATTCTCACAATATTAGATACAAAAATAATAAAATCTAGAAAAGCAATTTTTTCCAGAATAAGATTAATACATTCTTTATTCATAAAAACAAACTTTAAATATACAAATGTAAAATAATAACATGGTTATTAAATGATAAAACTATAATTATCCTATATGCAGAAAATAAAGCAAACATATTTACAACTTATATCAAACAAACTGAACTAGGACACTAATTATTTTATTCAGGGGGAAAATTCAAAAATTGCATCAAAATCTAATCATTTTTATTTACAGACTTAAGGTCTGTCAAAAATCATAGTTTCTACACTTCACATAAAAATAAAAAACAACGAAAATAAATATAAAAAAAGTAAATAAAACATAAATAAAAATCTAACAAGAAACATAAAAGATTAGTCATTAACATTATTATTGACCACAATTAATTTCATGGTTTTGGCAACTAACATTAAAAAGTGGTTTAAAATTTGATGTAGAAAAATTGCCATCCTAAGAGACTTTTTTTTACCGTTAAAGTTATTTCAAAAGTATGTTATACCTTCACTCTAAAGAAGTAAAAATTATGTAAAAGTTACACAAAAAAAAAATTTTGTAGAGAGGAAATAAAAAATGAAAAGTTAATTTTTTATTTCTTTAATTAATAAATTTTTTTTATATATTGCTTATTTAAGACCCAAATTGACATATTTCTAAAAATATTTTTAAAAATATATCACTTCACTCATATGAAATTATGAGTTATAAAACAAGTATTAAAAAAAAAAAAAAGTAAAAGCAATAATCAAAATTTTATACTTTCTTTTCATGTTGCTTCAACTCAATTTGTCTTAACTCTTTGAGGAATGATCTGAAAAGTCGTTGCAATTTCTTTGTGTTATTCATTAAATTTTTGTCTTTTTAACCTTGGTTTTGTTAAGAAATTGATATCAAATAAAACTGTATGCAGTATATATATATATATATATATATATATATATATATATATATATATATATATATATATATATATATATATATATATATATATATATATACATATATATATACACAAATATATATATATATATAAATTATGTATATATATATATATATATATATATATATATATACACAAATATATAAATTATGCATATATATATATATAGATAGATATAGATATACATATATATACATATATATATATATATATATATATATATATATATATATATATATTATATATATATATATATATATATATATATATATATATATATATATATATATATATATATATATATATATATATATATATATATATATACTTATATATATTTATATTTATATACACACATACATACATACATACATATATACATATAGATGTATAAACACCAGTTTAACAAAAAAAAATTATAAAAAATTTAAATTAGCTTTAAGTTAGTTATATATTTAGGTATACTGTATGAAAATGTTTATTTTCTGTTTTATTGTACTAACAACTGTGATACTCTCATTATATATAAAAACTATTCTTATTCTATAAAAAAGTTACCATTTTAATTTTGATAATGTTAATACATTAATGTATAACACCATGCAAATTTGATATCAGACTTAAAATGCTCAAAAAAATAAGCTATCTATCAAGATTATTAACTTAATTAAGCATTTGTATATTATGTAGTAATTAAGTCTTACATTGTTTGTTTGTTATATCAAAAAAAGAGTTATTGCTAGTATGCCCATTAAAAAAAAGCCCTATACTGAACTTAGTTTCAAGGAAAATTTAAAAACTTTTTAATTATTATTTTTTACGGAGTTTCCCAGACCCCATTCACCTGATGATTCGTAATTTATTTATTTGTAATTAATTTGTTAACAGCATTTTTTTTTTCTAATTACATTTATTCATCTAAATATTTTCACATAGCACTATATCAGAACACTTGCAAAATTCTTTAATATGCTCTGTTTTTTAAGTTCAATTTTTAGACATAATCTTATGGCAAAAGAATTGTTTATCTTTTTCCATTTTACTAATTTGGTTCAGAGGTTTAATGGGTGACTAAGGCTTTATTTCTGCCCCCTGTATGGAGAGCCGAATCATAATTCTTTTTGTTCTTCCTGTTGATTACCAACAAGAAAAAAAAATTTACTTAATAATTTAAAGATATCCATTTCTCTTTATATATATATATATATATATGTATGTATATATAGATATTATGGTGCTTTAAAAATCACTACTCAGTGTTAAAGTATTTTTTGTCTTAATCTATTTTTTGTCAGTATTTTTTGTGTTAATCTATTTTTAGATTCTAATTCAGAAAAGATTTATATAAAATTTCTCTTTATTTGAGTAATAAGTTGACTTTTTTAATGTAAACATTTTAGAGACCATTTAAACAATATTAGGGACCTGTTGAATAGAAAATGAGCTTAAGTATGAACTAAATATTGAACAATTAAACTTTAATTAGACTTGAAACTTCAAATTGTGTATCTGGGATTATTAAATCATTTCTTTCTAACTGCTTTATTATAATCATCGTCAAATGCCTACTTATTTATTTCCAGTAACTTCTGGGGTTAATCTCAAGGTTCTATTCTTGGTCTGTTTTGTTTCTTATCTACATTATTGATCTTCCTGACAACCCTACATCTATAGTAGCTCTTTTTGCTGATGACTAAAGTTTTTACTCCTGTCTTGACAAAAAGTCTTCACTTTTTGATCACTTAGAATAGGCAGCCAATTTTGTATCTGATCTTACTTCTGTAACAGATTGGGGCTCACATATTTTAGCTTATAAATTTTATTTCTAACTAAACTCAGTTATTTACTGCAAACAACTACCACAATACTGTTGACATTCCTATATTAATTAATGGTAAACCTCTTACTTAGTCTTCTTTTTTACATCTTCTTGGAATATTATTTGCTACTAACCTTTCATGTACACAAATTATACAATTGATTGCTAAATTAGCATCCCTTTATCATTATCGTTGTTTTCTTGATTCCATTCTCTACCTCTACAAATATCTTTTTGTCCCTGTATGGTATGTTGTTGTCATATTTGGGCTGGTTCTTTTTATGATGCCCTTTTTCTTCTAAACAAGCTCTATCTGCTAAGCTTGAGCCTCTTTCCCATTGTCGTAAAGTTGCATCTCTTTCTCTTTCCTACAAATTCTATCATGGCGGCTGCTCTAAATAGTTATTATCTCTAGTTCCATTAACAAAAACTCATTCTCGACTCTTTATTATGCTAAGTCTCAATATATGCGGTAGTGGTGTAGTGGTAGAGCGCTCGCTTCATAAACGAGGTTCCGAGTTCGATCCCCACGATGTCCCTGGTAGTACCGCGCTCAACTCGTTTCTCCGCGCAGCGGCCTTGTTCGTCAAGGTTCGTGTTTCGGAGTTATAGAGTTGAGAGAGGGTTATAGCCACGAATAAGTAGCCTCCTCGTCTGTAGTGGCCTTCTCGGCCTTGAGGAGGTGAATTAAAATAAAAAAATAAAATAAAAAAGTCTCATTCATTAGTTGTTAAATTTTATTAAATATAATAAATGTAAATAAATGTTTATTGTGTCAATATACACTAAAAACAGTAAAGATAAAGTTGAGGAAGATAAAATTATCAAAGAAGTTTTCATACAAGACTGCTTCAACCGTGATAACCTTTAACCGTGTTAATATACCAAAACAAAAATAATTTCAGTAAATTTCAGTATTTATTGTCCTATTTAAATCAGAAATTAAAATATGAATTAAGATATTGTCATTAAAGTTAAATTTAGTAACTTAAACAATGAATTTTTGATTATTTCCCAAAAAAACCAAAAAAACAACCAAAAAAAAATATATATATATATATATAAATTATATTAATATACAAATAGAGTGCTCAGAAGAAAATATAAATTAGATTAGTGTTTTTACTATATATATATATATATATATATATATATATATATATATATATATATATATATATATATATATATATATATATATATATATATATATATATATATATATATATATATATACAGCTATAAATGCGTATTTAGATAACAACTGTGATGTTAGACTGAAATAGACTGCTGTCAGTACATACATCAACTATCTTAAAGCCTGCTGCAGCAAAGGAGTGCCGCTAATCAATGGGAGCACAATCGCTTCTTCTTTTTTTTTTTTTTTTTTTTTAAAGTTGTATGTATATATATATATATATATATATATATATATATATATATATATATATATATATATATATATATATTTATATATATATAGGCTTGGTCGGGAAGCGGGTGCGATCGCACTCGATATTTGACCACGGAAATTATATTTAATTGCGAAAAGCCGGCCAGATTTTTCAGGCGTTTTGAGAACATTTCAAAAACAAGCAGAAAAGTGCAATAAGATAAACTGGACCGATGAGAGACAGTTAAAAAAAAGAAAAATAGCTTTTAACGCAAAACTTTAAGCAAAATAAATACGATTAGAGTTTCAAAATATTTTTGAAACGTCGCTCTTTTATAATTTTTTTTTTAAAAAAAAGCGACATTTTTTGTATATAGTAACAACGTACTAATAATGATTGTTTAATAAAGAAACAAATGTTCTTCAATTTATCAAAGATTATATATAATTTTTATTTATATTCCTATGTCTTATTTCCAGTGCTGGAAATAAGAGGTGGGGGGGGGGGGGTAGAAGAGCTATAGTCCCGGGACACACAATGTTATGATCCGAGAAATAGTCAAGAGGACCTATCGGTATTTTTAAGTCATTTTTACGATGTCGCACATAAAAAAGGCCACCAAAATAATGCAGCCCCCGGCCCTGTAAAGTCCAACAAGATTAATACATAATTTAATTATAAATAAAAAAAGTTTTTTCAGTACCTGTTTTATGCTTCGCGTAGTTTGAAAAGTTTAACATATTTGAAACAATTCTTCTTAGTAAGATGAACAAATGAAATAACTAAATCATTGAGTTACTGTGGAAATTTAATTAGCTAGATAGAAATTAACTAAAAACGTTAAATTACTTTGTAAGGAGGAAGCGGAACTGCTTAACAATATCGCTGATGATGTTTAGTGAGTGGGCTTTATATCTTTAACTAGTATTTTACAGAAAAAAAAAACTTCAAGTGTAAGTATAACGAGTTTGTAAGAATGGCTGAAGCAAAAATAATTGAAGTTAATAAACCAATTTCTAATACATTACATACATATAAATACATCCCTTATATATAAAAAACAAGATTATACTAATTAAATCTATAATATATTTACAAAACATTGACAAGTTAAAAAATATAAACTTAAAACATTTATTTTTGTAAACAAATGTTAGTTTAAAACATTTATAGCTTTATGGATGTGACTCCGAGAATGAGCCATTGTATTAAAATAATTGTTCGTTTGATAGTATATTCTTAAAACAATTGATGCTAGAATTCTCAACGAAAAAATAACAAAAACAAAAACAAAAAAAAAAGATTTTGAAAAATAATTCAACAGATTACTCTAGAACAGTCGCGTAGTAATTTCAGTTATTTATTAATTGAACTAATAGAATTAGTTGTTCGTAAATTTGGCGGGTTTTTTATGTTCGCGAATATTCTTTATTTATTTTTCCGCACTAAGATGTTTGACAACATTCAAGTTTATATAAGTTTCCATGTACGTCCGTAAAAAAAAATCTTACAAATTTACGATAAAATGAACTTATTATTTTGCGGACAAACAAGGAAACATACATAAACTGAAATGTTCTCAAAACGCCTGAAAAATCTGGCTGGCTTTTCGCAAGTAAGTATAATTTCCGTGGTCAATTATCGAGTGCGATCGCACCCGCTTCCCGACCAAGCCTGATATATATATATATATATATATATATATATATATATATATA